GTCACTGAGGGAAATGAAGTAGAAAGTGTGCAAAATAGCTGACCAGCATTGGGAAAACTAAGTTGCACTGGGTGTTTGGGGGAGACTGAGTTCATACCTTTCAGTAGTTTTAAAAATAAGTCCTGCTTTTAAAGACAGCTTCTATATAGCTCCATCATGTGAAATAAATGTACAGTTTAAATACAATTTTGAGAACCTAGTTGATCCCCCAAGGTTTAAAGTGATATCTTGTCATTCTCTGCAAACTTGTTGAATTCAGTATATTCAATAATATAGTTCTTGAAGCATAATCTTTTATTCTTTCCTTGATCTTAGCTTGCTTTTCTATACAGTGTACAATTTGACAGAAGAGAATAAATGTGTTCTAAAAATAGGCATTAAGAAGTGCAGTAAGAGACAATAATTCCCTTAGCTTTATAAGCAGATCAAGGTAATACATCTGCTCTGCCCAAGAAGTTTGTTTATGCACAGAACGCTCTTGAAGAAAATGGCTACCTTGCTTTTGTAGTCGGGAAGGCAAACGACAGTGTATCTGACAAAGGTTAGTATGTAGCATTCACTTTTTATATGGTATGTTCTTGCTATTGGCTGCCTTTCTTAACGGTCTAGTATTGGAATTCATTTATATTCCAAGTCTTGCTTTGGAGTGTGCTATAATTTAACCTTTACACTGAGAGGTTCATTTTTTAAGGATAATCTTATGATAATGGAATAATGACAATACCCTGAAAACTTGCATAAAATGCTATTTTAAACTGATCAGTTAGGATCCAGAGAAACATTAGTTCAGGCCTTTGATCTCTGGATACCTATGTTCCAAATCTGGTGGATCACCAGAGACTGAATTCACTCTGTTCATGATGTTCCTCCAGATCCAGACCCCATTGACTGCCCAAAGCTGCTGAAAATGAAAAGAAAAAAAAAAATGGGGCTAAAACTTAGTTTTCTCTTATGTCAAGGATTCTTAGTCCTGGTATTATAAAGGCACAGAAGAATATATGAGACAATTTGCCTTCTAGCAAAATTGATGAAAGAAAGAAGGGTGAAGGAATACTAAACGGATAAAGGAAGGTAAATAGGGATTTATTATTTACTTTCTCTTTTATAATACAAGAAATTGGGGTCACAAGATGCAACTTGTAAGTAGTAAATTTAAAACTAACAAAAGGAAATTCTTTTTCACATAGTGCGTATTAAAAGTGTGGAACTCATGCTACCAGATGTTGTGGAAGCTGACAGTTGAGCCAGATTCAAAAAGGGATTGGCAGGTTCAAGCAGGAAAGAGGCATCAATAGCTATTGAGTACGAGAGAGAGGGATACAGCCTTTAAATTAAAGCTTCTTGTACCTTAAATGCTGGAGGCTGGAAGTAAGAAGAACAATGTGGGAAAAAAACCGCTGGTCATAGGTGACTGGTGCCTCCCAAGTCTGGGGCAAGTCTGGGGAGGCACCAGATCACCGCCAGGGGTAAAGCGGAGTGGTCCTCCATTGGCCAATCGCCGACTGTGGTGGGGGGTCCCCCCAGCAGCCAATTGCTGAACCAGTGGCAAACCCAGAAGCGTGCTTCTGGTTTCGTAGCTGGCACTTCCAGGGGCTGCACGTGCACCTGCATGCACCCTGTACATGTCACCACTGACCCTGGTCATACCCAGTTCACTCTCCCTTTCAACATCTACTCTCTGCCACTATGAGACAGGATACTGGGCAAAATGGAACTGTGGTCTGACCCAGTAAATGGCAATTCTTATGTTCTTATTAAACAGGGTGGAGAGTGTTCCCACTCTAAATTTACTTATTACATTTTAAATTAATGTTTGGTTTGACACAATAATTTGGTGTTATATTAATGAGTGCAGAAAAGACTGGTGTGATTCACGTTGCTGTAGAAATTCCTAATGTTTTCATGAGCACTATTTTCAGGTTTCACACTATGTCCTTTAAAACCACAAAAAATGCATACCTGGCTGTTCATTATTATATCATTTTACTTCAGCTTTTGTTTTCCGTATTTTTCTCTAAAAAAAAAAAAAAATTGGTAGGAAATCTAAATTTAATTCTGGCCCCAATTTTGCAAATACTGGTATGTATGCTTAACTTTACCTTTGTGTGCAGTCCTATAATTACAAGAAGAAAAATAATCTAAGGCAATGCTGTTAAACTTAGGGCCCTCTCTATACATGCAGAGAAAGGTGCAGTGGGATCCAATGCATGATTCACACAATTGTGCCTCCTGCCATGCCTCACATGCTTGGTAGGAGGTGTGAATTGTGTAAATCGTGCATTAGAGCCTATCATGCCTTATTGCCGATGCAGGGAGAGCTGAATCCCAGGCTCCCCCTGCACCAGCAAGCAGCAGGCTTCCATGCACCGAAACTGAGGGGCTTCTAGCCACAGGGATGCCTCACACATCCCCAGGGCTGAAGGATCCCTGCTGCAGCAATCTCCCTGCCTTGGAGGTGCAGGAAACCCCTGGGCTGGAGAATTGCTGCAGTAGCAGGGACACCCTTGTGGTGCGGAGAAACCCTTGGGTCTGGAGGATCGGCTCAGGACTGATCCCTTTGTTCTGGGGGTGCAGGGAAACCCATGGGACTGGAGGATTGCTGCGAGGGCAGTTTCCCCCTCCCCCCACCCCCCTGCCCTGGGTGTGAGAAACCCCCAGGGCCAAAGGGTCACTGTGATCCTCCTGCTCCAGGGATTTCCGTGCACCCCCTACGCATCACCAATGCCTGCAGCAATCTTCTGGCCCCAGGAGTTTCCTGTACCCTGGAGCTGTAAAGATTGTGGCAGCCATGATCCTCAGGGTCTAGGGGTTTCACACACCCACAGACCATAAGTTTTGGGGTTCATGCAGCCCCAGGATCCTGGGGATCACAGCTACTGGGATCGCTAGGGCTTGGGGAGTTTTCACTGGGCATGGTGTACCCCTGCTGCCATGTGCAAATTAAAGCTCAATAGCAACCAGCTATAAAGTTAGTACACATTTCTGAGGCCTAACTTAGCTTGTTGGAGCTTTTTATGGTGTGATAACTACTTTACACATGTAGTTGGTCTCCAGGTAATTGTGCAATACCTGTAACATGTAGTGGGGCCCTAAGAGTGACTGCTATCCATAACATTTTTGTTATTAAAATAAATTTGAATGAAAAACTATTATAGAAATGTTGAGGGGGAAGTTCTGGCTGACATCATTTTCTATGCAAATGAAAAATGAGATTAACACTATGTTTTGGTTTATGTTCTCTACTTCATAGCTTTTCCATCTTAAGGGGAAAGCTATAAACTAGTTTGTTTGATTTTGCATGTGTTCTGGAAGCTAATAGAAAAATGTCTCAAATCTTCAGCAAAATAAAACTATTTTCAAAGTGTCTGGTTAGTATTCAGAGTTGAGTGCAGAACTTAACTAGTGCACCAAAGCTAAGAAGAGGTTTTGATGAGCCTATTTTTATTTCTTAATTCTTGCAATGAAAACACCTGAGAACTAACTATGAAACTAATCCTACAACTGCTTAAATACCTGAGTAACTTGGTATGCATGGAAGGCTCTGGGACTCCTTAGATAAAGTCTTTGCAGAATCTGGCTCCATAATGATGAAAAGTTAATGAGATTTTTCCAAAGCTTTTGTATTTGAATAGTTTATGTTGTTAACAGAGGGAGAGAATGCCAGTTTGTTTTAAAATGACAGTTATAATTATCAGTTTACAGGAACACAGTTTGTATAAACTCTTAGCATTTTGGTTAAAAAAAAAAAAAGCTATGACTCTCTGAATGTATGTTTTGAAAAAAAGGTGGATTATAGCACCTGTACACAAGGCTTTCTTGTTTATTGAGAGGCTGTGGAGTAGGATAGTGAGGATTCCCTAAGGATTTACATGCGATGGCTTTACTGCACTGTGGCATTTGCAATGCATATTTGAGTCCTTAAATACTCCTGACAAGCAAATTATCCCCTTCATCTCCTGCAGCAAAAAGACATTATAGTTTAGTTGCATCCAGAATTATTCCAAATTATGAATGTATTCAACAAACTATAGTTGCTTTATGGCAAACGTTTTTTGTATGCTTTAAAACATGGTCAAGCATGAAATTGCATAAGAACATTACAAAATCTTTTACTTGAAACCAGGGCTGGCCTACCTGTGGCACTGGTGCTGTAAGTGGTATGGGCAGTTTCTGTGTGGGACATACGACAGATTGGGGATGGGACTGCCAGCACATTGGTAGATAGGGTTGGGAGCAGAAATCAGAGCAGCAGATAAGAAAGAGAGCACAGGGCAGGAAGCGGAGCAGCAGATGGAATAGGAAAAAAGAATCGGTGAGGGCTAATTTGTGGCACACCTGCCAAAACCATTGGCTCCCATTACTTAAAACCATAGGTGTCCACAGTTTGCCCAACTGTGAACTACATTAGTAATTTACTAGCACTCTGTGGTTGTAAACTAAGAATATCTGGGTCTAGTAATACTGTTTTTGTGAGGCCATCTTCATGTCAAACATGGTTTGATCATAAAAACCTTTCCCATTATTGGCTGATAATGAAATGTCTGGGGGTTTGGGACTTTTGTATCAAGAGAGCACTTTGGATAGAGTGTAGGACATTTTTTAATGTTTCCTAGGAAGAATATACATAACTTTTAAAGTTAATTGTAGCCTTGGAACATAGATGACCTGCAGGCTGCCCATTGGGAACCGAAGTTTTCTATAATATTCTGTTCTGTTTAAATTTGGGTCAACCTAGAAACATTTAATTTAAAACCACTTCTAATATTCTGGTTGCTGAGTAATCTAAACTGTAAGTTATGTCCGTCTGAAACTGCAAGTGTAAACAAAAAAACATACTTAAAAGTCCAAAAGCTTATTCCTCTGTCTTTATTCAGTTTTCTTTTAAATAAAAAATATCATCAGTAATTCCTGTATGATTGTTCTTTGCTTCCTAGTTTGCAGTCTGTGAAATACAGCTAGTCTGAATGCTCCATTCAGAGAAATGGGGAGAATCTCCTAGAATGAAGGAGAAGATGGAGATGCCGGCAGTTGGCAGCCAGGAGAATGGTACAACACCCAGCTTCCTTGCATTGCTTTTCTTATTTTTTTGCTTTCTTTTTTTTTATCAGAGGGAGCACATGCACAATTTATTTTTGTAATTTAACCTCCTTTGCTTCCTCTCCCAATCCTTAAGGCACTAAATAAAACATTTTCATAGATAATGGGAATAAATTCCTTTCTAAGGTGGTATGGCTTTTTGTATGAGATGTGCTTGCAAATATTATGTTGGATAGAAAGTGAGGAAGGAAAAATATTTTTCCAATCATTTGATTTTCTGTCTGTTTTAGGACAGTTTTCAAGCTTTTTTGGCCACATACCCATTTACCTGCATAATATAGCTGCTCATACCCCTTACATTTGACATTTATCTACAAGTCTGTCCCTTACTAAAAGTGTTGACTATCAGTGTGTGGAAATGCCATTACTCACCATGCATTGACCAATCAGAAGCTCCACTGTTATTAAAATTTAGGCACATACCCCTTTGCAAAGTGCCATGTTCCCCCCAGGGTACATGTACCCCAATTTGAAAAACACTGTTTTAGGATAAGGGAGCCAATCTAACATATTTAAATTGGAAAAAGGAAGATAGGTAAAATCAAATTTACTTAGGCATTTGGACACCTAAAATGCAACTAGTTACCTGGTAAGGTTTATCAAAGTGCCTAAATGAATTAGATACCTAATTTCTAATGATTTCCTTCAGAAGTTAAGTACCTTGCCTGGTTAGGAATTTTGGTAAATATAAGTAAGCAAATAGAAGCAGGTCTAGCAGCCTAAATGCCTTTGTAATCAAGCCCTTAATACCCAGTATAGTAGAAGATTGCATGTCATAGTTTACTAAACAGAGCATCAAAAATTAGAAATGATCCAATACCACTTGTGGTGGATCAGTAGATTTGATACACCTGTACGGGGCATTCTAATTTGCATATATGTTCCATTATGTCCTACATCAGGGGTGTCAAAGATATGGTCCATGGAGTCTTAGGATCCAACCTGTGGGTCTTGGACCAACCCTGTGCGCCTCATGTCACGCATTGACCACAGATCAACATGCAGAGCCAGTCTGGTGCATGCAATGCCTATACCAGACTGGCCCTCTGGGGCTGAATCAGGCTAGCCCCATAGACCAGCCCCATTCACTGGCACCAGTGCACAGGGCCAGTTCACCATAGTCACAGTTGCCATGCACCACAGTTGCCACAATCCTGAATCTACCCATGTCTAGCTCCTATTTGGTGGGAGTGGAAATTTAAGCAAGTTATGTTCTTGGACATCTGGGCCGATGCATGAGTTTGGACAATTTTCTGTTTGTGTTGAACTGTGTTGCACTTTTCTGTTTGTTGGGTTCAGGTTTCTCTCTTGTTCTGACTAGTGCTACAAGAATTGAATCTCTTCTACAAGCGAGATGTCAATGGAGTTGGAGTATTATATGACCTGCTTAGATCTCACTGGCTGCAGGGCCTCCTAAAGGTAAAAGCACTCTTCAGCTACAAAGCCACAGTCTGTGTTAGGAAGCAATAAATTGGTATCTGCCTCGTTGTACTACATGGCATCAAAATCTCCACCTAAGCCTTCTAGCCCTTAGAACTACAGTGGTTAATGTTTGACACTTGTAGCTAGTGATGCACAAATTTTTGGCTAGCATCATATCCAGCTGCCTCTATGGGGCAGAGCTGTACTGCTACCCAGCATGTCCACAGGTGGTGGATAGTGTAATGACCTTCAGGGAAGTTTAGCTGTGAAATAAGCAAGGGTAACTCTGATGAATAAGCAGCTGCAGACCAAGCAGTGGCAGTACCACCAGGATGTGGTGAAGACAGCAGATGGCAATACTTTCTTTCCAGAAAACCCACATATTCTTTGATGGTGCTGTGACATGGCAAGTACAGGTTACTGCTATAATAAGCCTGTCCAGCCTCTAGCCGTGGGTCTACAAGTCCTCAATGGCTGTGAAGGTGGATGAAGGCTGCAGTGGGACAAGATCCCCAGTTGTCTCGTTCTGCTTGCCATTGGATCAAGGTCCCGTTCTGTCAAGAGCCGTGTGGAAGCTGATGTGCAGAAGCTTCTCTATGATAAAAGAAATCACACACAGGCATCTTCCACGAAAACAGCTTTTCCAGCACATTCCTCAAGCCCTTTGGTGACCAGCTAATGGCAATGGAAGCAGAATTGTGAGGTCTGGAAGCTCCTACTCATGAACTGGCATTAAAGAAGTTACAAGAAGGTCATCTAACACTTGGATGAGACAGGAGTGCAATTCAGCAGCTGTAACTGTGACTGAGCAGCCCTCTTCAAGATCCTCTCTGCTCATCCTACAGGGGGAGCAGGCTAAAAAAGATGTCCTAAACATAGCCTGTCTAATGCAGTATTCTGTATTTCTTCCTGACTGGATAACCATGTGGGATCATCTGTGGTTGAAAATACCAACAAAGATGCACCATCATTTTTGGGACCCGGAATATCAGAATCCTCATGGACAACCCTAATAATGAAAGCCCAGAGCACTGCACTGCAATTGTGGCCTGAGAACTCAGACAACACAACATCGATGTAGCTGCATTGCACAAGACCCGGCAAGTGGGTAATGGGCAGCTCAAAGAATATGGAGGCAGCTGTACCTTCTTCTGGAATGAGAATCCTGTCTTCACAAAGTTCGTTTTGCCATTAATAATGAACTCATAAACCAACTCAATGAGTGCCCTATCAGAATTAAAGAGCGCCCCATGACTCTTCATCTTAAACTGTCAGGAAGCCAATACACCATTGTCATCAGTGTATGCCTTGATTCTTGATGCTGCCAGTGAAACCAAGAAGGAATTCTATGCTAACCTTGACCAAGTCCTTTCTGACATCCCAGAGAGAGAGAGAGAGAGGCTTATTCTTCTCAGTGATTTCAGTGCCAGAGTCTGAAGGGACTCTAACCTCTAACTAACTGAACCATCAGCAAGGAGGGAGTAGGAATGGTCAACTCCAATGGCATCCTCCTCTTGACCAAATGCATGGAACATGGACTCACCATCACTAACACCCTGTTCCGCCAGAAAAATAGGCACAAGACATCACGACAATGATCTAAGCTTTGGCACCTGATTGACTATGTCATCGTCCGTACCCAAGATCGCAAAAATGTCCACATCACCTGAGCTATGCTAAGAGTTGATGATTGCTGGACTGATCACTGACTCATTCACTTGGTTATGTCACTCAAACTGGCTCCCAAATGATGGCTGTAGCAGAAGCAATGCTAACCGAAGATCAATGCTGAAGGACTCAAGGACCCAAGCAAGCAAGACCTCCTTCTACTAGTACCTCAACAAAAAACCTGGTGAAGTCCAATCAACAACAATGGAAGAATTTCATCAGTGTGTGCGGTGCCCTTAAGGCCACCGTCATCAGCACCTGTGAAGAGACGCTTCGATTCCCTACCAGGAGACATCAAGACTGGTTTGATGAGAATGATCAACTCTTGGATCTCCCAGTCAACGGCAAGTGCAAGGTCTTTTGTGTTTGGTAAAACAACAACAACTCCAGGCAAAATAAATTGAATCTCCAACAAGCCAAAGCAGAGGTCCAAAGGAGGACCCATGATATGAAGAACAAATGGTTGGAAGACAAAGGCTAAGGAGATTCAATATCTCACTGACATCCATGATGTGTATGGTTTCTTCAGTGCCACCAAAGCCATCTGTGGTCTGAGCACTCGGGGACCAACCCCCTTGAGACCTAAGGATGGAGCAGACCTGATCAAGGAAAGGGGAGCTATCAATGCCCACTGGAAGGAGCATTTTGAAGACCTCAATCAAGAAGATCTTGGAATCCCTCCAACCCTTGATGAGGTGAGGAAAGCCATCAAGCAGATGAAGAATGACAAGGCATCTGGAGTGGATGGAATCCTCATGGAAACCTTCAAGCAGAGAGTGTGGAGCTCAACTCACAGCTTCTTGCCTTCATCTAAACCAGGGGCGGGCAAAATGTGACCACCAGCTGATTGGATTCATCCTGCAGGCTGGCACCCACCAATTAATTGTATCCAGCCTCACCAGCAGCTGTCCCTCCTGCACTCTGCATGGGGTTGAGTCCTGCCCACTCCCACCTTGAGCAGCACATACTGCTCTCCCAGCCTCCCCCGCTGGAGGGCACCAGTCCTGGCCAGCAGGCACAGCTTCCAGGCAGGGCTGCCACTGCTACAGCTGCAGCAGGGAACTGCTGGGCTGCCCTCCAGTGACAACTCCTGTCCCTGTTGCAGTGCTCCAGGCAGCAGGCAGGGAGGGGAAGCTGCAGCATAGAGGTGAGTGGGGCTCTGCCTGCAGCTCACCTTGGTCCTACTTGTGCATGGCTGGGTGGGAGAATGTGCAGATGGAAGGGGGGTGTGAAAGAGTTTGGCTGCTCATGAAGCCCCGCCAGGCAGGCACGGGACAGGTAGGTGAGGTGGGAGCAGCAGCAGCAGTAGCAGCCAGCATGGGCTTGGTTCAGTCCCACTGGGCAAGCACAGGACAGGCAGGTGGGGGGGGGGGCGCAGCAGGGGCCCGCGCCAGCGTTGCCCCACCAGGCAGGTGTGGGACAGAGACCAAGACAGCTGGCAGTGCCAGGATTGGCTCCTTGTCCCCCCTCCTCTCTCCCAGGGGCTTCCCTTGCTGCCTGCTGGTGGCAGCTGCTTTTCTGCCTTTGCAGCACGCTGCAAACCAGGCTGGCAACACTGAGTCCCCTCCTCCTCCCCCTGCTTGTAGAGGGTCTGGGATCAGCCAAGTCACAAAGAGCGGGAGGGGGAGAAGCCCCTCACATGTGCACACCCAACCCATCCAACCCCCAATTGTACTCTACATATGTGCCCACACCCCCTCACACACCTCACCACACCCACACACACCCAACACTGTCCCACACATCCCACACCCCAACCAAACACTCCATCATACCCACACAGACTTATCTACATTCCCCAGACATCCCACACATACCCACACATCCACCTCCACTGTACCCACACCTCACACCTCCCCACCATACCCACACACATTGTCCAAACCTCAACCACACATACACCCCACCATACCCCCCACACATTCAAAACTGTTCCACACACTCCATACCCCAGCCACAAATTCCACCTCCCCACACACACCCCCACATACACTTCACCCCCACCATACCCACACACCCCCACACCCCAACTCCCCACCATACCCACATACACACCCAACAGTCCCACATACACTGCACATGCATGCACACACACTCACACCCCCACACACCCCCTCCACGCCATCACACAATATACAAGTAACGCGCCCCCAGAAGGAGTACTTCCTGGGCAAGGGGAGAGACTTCTGGTGGCCAAAGGCCAGAGGTTAGGGGGTGGGACTTCCAGTCACAAGATAGTGACCAGAGGATGGGGCACCTATCAAGGGGTGGGGGTATCCTTGCAGCCTTCAATGCCTCACCAAAAACCTTTTAAGTGACCATCCAGCCAAAATAATTGCCCAGCCCTGATCTAAAGGACCTGGAATGATGAGGAAATCTCAGACAACCTCACGGACACCATGACTGTGACAATCTTCAAGAAAGGAGACAAGTCTGACTGTGGAAACTACAATGGGATTGCCTCACTGTCCACCACAGGAAATATCATTGTGAGAACCCTTCTAAACCGTCTCCTTCCTCTTGCTGAAGAGCTCCTCCCAAAATCTCAGTATGGGTTTAGGGCACCAAGAAGTACAACAGACATGATCTTTGCAGCTCACCAGCTGCAGGAGAAATGCCAGGGACAACATAAGTCTTTATACGTGGCCTTCTTTGAGCTCACAAAAGGTTTAGACTGTCAGCCAAGAAGTGTTGTGGAAGATCCTTCTGAAGTACAGATACCCACTGAAATTTGTCACCATTCTCTGCCTGCCTAATGATGGTATGTGAGTGGTAGTTCTCAGTAATGGATCTGTCAGAGATCCCCTTGAAATTAAAATGGAAATTAGGCAAGGCTGCGTCATCGCTCCAACACTTTGCAATATTCCTTGCTATGATGCTACATCTGACCACCAACAAACTTCCAACCTGAGTGGAGCTCTGGAGAATGCTGAGTTTTTCCTGTGCCTCAGAAGCCATCTCTCACAGAAGGCTGACATCAACAAAGAAATCTGACAAAGCCTCAAATGTGCAAGTACAGTTTTTGGATGCCTGAAGAAATAGGTGTTTGAAGATCACAACAACAGATCCAAAACTAATCCCATGGTTTATCAAACAGTAATGATCCCACCTTGCTGTATGGAGCTGAGACATGAACAACATACAGGAGACATCTAAAGTTGTTGGAGAGGTACCATCAGTGCTGCTTGTGGAAGATCCTCCAGATCCAGTGGAAGACAGATGCACCAATGTTGGCATCATCCTGCAAGCAAACACCATGAGTATTGTGGTGGTGATTATCTGCCATCAGCTTCGTTGGGCCAGCCATGTCATCCAGATGTCTGACTCCAGACTCCTGAAGCAAGTTTTATTCTCCCAGCTAAGCCAAGGTGTACGCTCAAAAGGAGGACAGAGAAAGTGCTTCAAGGACATCTTCAAGGCCAAGTTAAAAAAATGCAACAACAATGGATCATGGGAGACTATCACCCAGGACTCCCCCAAATGGAGGAAGAGTCTATTGCAGGGATCTCAGTACTTTATGACAACAATAGGAGTTGAAAAAAGAGGAACAGCAGAAACAGCGTATCCCAGACCAAATGAAGAATCCAGCACCACTCACCCCACATGAAAATATATGTTGGAGCTGCAGTAGAGGTTATCAATCCCAGATGGGCCTCATCAGCCATGTTTAGACATGGAGATAAGACCATCATAGAAAACAATCATCCTCGACTGCGAGAGATTGCCGAAGAAGCTCCAGCTGCCTTGGGTGCCCCAGCCTGAACGACCACCTTGGTTGAAGGATGACCTTTGGCACAGGTCTAGAGCAGGGTATAAATTCATGCTTTGGTGAAAAAAGGCTATTAGACTTTGAAGGGGGGACCTGGTGCATCTTTTTCACTACCCAGACTGACTGAAATGATGCCTTGTAAATTCTAGCATGTGTAGATGTGTATTAGGAGTAGAGAGAACACATGGCTGACGATCAGGAATGCTGGGTTATTTTCTCAGTCACTAACCCTCTATATGTCCTTTAACAAATGAATTAATCACTTTGAATCCCAATTTTGGCCTTTTTAAATATAGCAATAATATTTTGTCTTGTAAAGAAGACCTTAAGTAAAAGTTCTCTGTGTGTGAAATGTGTGTGAAATGTTTGGACTGCATTGATCTGATGCATAGTTGGGATAGTGTGTTAGCATAAAACATGAAACGGGATGAAATTTTCCTGCTAGGCACAGTAGTTAAATTAAGACTTAAAAAAAAATCCTGTAAATAGAGAAAATAAATAATAATTAAAAAAGATTCTAGTGAATTAAAATTTCTTTGAGGTCTTAAATTTGGAGATTTGATCTTAATTTAGCTTTGCTACTAGTATCCGTTTATACTTTAAGGAAAAGAAGAAACAGAATTTCTGGAAATGCTTTATTGGATTAGACCTGGGATATGTCACTTCAAGAGGGATGTAGATAACCTGGAAAGGGTTCAGAGGAGGGCCACCCATCTGGTTAAAGGCCTACAGGAAAAAACTCTGAGGATTGATTAAGGGACTTGAATCTCTTCAGCCTCTGCAAGAGAAGGCTGAGAGGTGATCTTGTGGCTGTCTACAAACTCAACAGAGGGGATAGCAGGAAATAGGGGATATGACGTTTACCAGAGCATCCATTGGGGTAACTAGAAGCAATGGCCACAAACTGAATGAGAGCACATTTAGATTGGACATCAGAAAAAAATTATTTGCAGTGAGGGTTGCCAGAATATGGAATGTGCTTCCAAGGGAGGTGGTGCTGTCCCCTTCCTTGGAGTTATTTAAGAGGAGATTGGACAAACACCTGGTTGGGGTCATCTGACCCCAGCACTCTTTCTTGTCCAGGGCAGGAGGTCGGACTCAATGATCTAATAGGTCCTCTCCGACCCTAAAATCTATGAATCTGCGTCTAGTATGAGCTCTATCTGACAGTGAGCAGTTCCAGATACTTTATACTAAGGTGGAAAATCCCTGTGCGCCTGGCTATTTGAGTAGTACTGTATAGTATCAGGGACTACAGGTGTGGCCCCAGCTGTTTGATCTGTTTATATAGACCCTGAGGGGAGTGATAGATCAAGTGATTTTTATTTTGGTCAGTCTTGGGAAGACTTAGTGTGGCACACCTGAGTGTACACTTAATTTGAATATATTACCATGATTGTTCACCCATTTGAGTTACTTTTTATTATTTACATTTTATCATTTCACCTTAGGTTTATGAATGCCTCCGTTATTATATCAGAAAGAAACCGGTTCCAGTCATACCCCAGGCCCGGGTACTGTCTCATGAGGTAAGATGGCATATATGTGTGTAGATGTATTGCTCGGTGCAAGGCAGCCTGTGCTGCTGAGCCCCCATGGCCCGGGGGCATAACAGGCTGTGTGGGGCTGTGCAGGACCCCGCAGGAGTGGTGGCGATTGCGGGAGGGGCGGAGGAATGCCCCAGATGCAGAGTGAGAAGTGGCAGCTGGGGCCACTCAATTAACCGGCGTATTTCGTTATCCGGCATCCCCTGTTCCCAGGAACACACACAGGTCCTTTATTTACCAAATTCAAATCTATTCACTTATATGCAAATAAACTGTGCTTATTTGTTGAGCTCCAGGTGAGGATTCAAGTATACATTGCAAATGTTAGTGAGCTCTTGTTTGAAATGTAGGTACTTATCCTGATTTTACAGATGGGGATTTAGAAAAACATAAAAAATGTGGCTTCCTCAGGATCATGTAGTCTGTGGCAATAGTCATACAATTTAACCATTATACCTTCTCTTTTCCCTAAGTGGCAGTCTGTCTTGTTATTAAAGTTACCATAAAGGAGTTTGACACAAAATTATTAATTTTGTAAGAGAGGATGATTGTAACTGTATCAGGATGGTTAATGGCTCATGCTAGAAAGTGGCACTATGAAGTTAGTGAAACCTAGGCTAGATACCAGACATTCGGACAGGTTAGGGGGAAGTTCACAGTTTCATAGGTGTTAGTTCAACTGAGTTAAAAATGGCCACCCAATCTAAGGTAAGTCAGGATAAGGGGAGGAGTTGGGTGGGAGTGGAGTTTGGGCAGATCAGGGGATCAAGCAGGTTTGGGGGCCTGCAGGGGATCCAGGGGGCAGAGTCCATAGGGAGGACCAGGGGTTTCCATGGGGGGCGGAGCTAGCAGCAATTGTAGGGGAGATTGGGGAGGCAGGTGGCATCTGGGAAGGTTTGGTGAAATATGGGGGACTCACAGAGTGTGGGTGGGAGCTTGGGAGGAAGAGGGGACTCTCTTCCCTACTCCCAGGACCAGGGGCTATTTTTAGCTGCCTGACCTCCACCCTTTGGCAAATCTGTTTTTCCATCCCTCCCCTCAGTGGGACTTGCTTCTTTAGCTCCTGGCATCTGCAAATGCTGATAACTGGCACTGGGAGCAGTTGGTAGGTGGGTAGTGTGAGGAGGTGGGGGGCTTAAAATGGCCCAGTGCCAAGGGGGAAGGTAGCAAAAGTGTAGCCCTGGGGCTGGGGCCAGCAGCTGAGCTTTGTCTAAAAATGGCCAACCCTATCTAAGTTAGATCACTTTGGAGGCAGGGTTAACTTGGATCAGCTCAGTCATTTTTAGACCAATCCAACCTTCCTGGAATTTCTGTACTGTTCGCACTTAGATGGACCTAACTAATAGGCCTGTGTGAATAGGGAAGTATTGGATTTGAATTCGGCCAATTTGGAGGACAGTGATGATATTTGGATCACTATCCCGAATCGATTCAGCTGGATCGACTTTGGAAGATTCTGCATTGATTCAGAGAGATTTGGCCGTAGACTATAATGGGGAATCACAGAAATACCTATAACTGTCATTTTCTGGCTGATTCAGATACAAATTGCAGAGATGGTAGCCCCCTCTGAGGGTATGAAGCCTGCCATGTTTCAAGGAGATAGGTGCAGGGGTTTCAGGGAAATTGTACCTCAAACTGCTGAAAGCTAAACTTGTGTGTGTGTTAAGGCGTATTTGGATGAAAACAGCAGGGATGGCAGCCCCTTCTGAGAGCATGAGTTCTGCCAAGTTTCAAGGAGATAGGTGCAGGGGTTTCTGGGAAACTGCAGCTCAAGCTGCTGACAAGCAAAACTTGTCACATGTGAAGTTCATAGGCCTAGCTGTGAAAAGTGGTTTGTAAATTCAAACAAGCACCGAACCTTGCTAACCTCATCACTAGAAGCCGACTTCCTACAGTTCAAAACACAAAACCTGCCAACATATCTCCAGTACGCCCACAAACTGCACCAGAATCTATCAAAGACAAGAATACCCAACTACCTGTGGAGGCACATTTCTCACAAAAAAACCACACTGTCTCTAGTCCCTCAGGCCTGATCCTCAAAGGGAATTTACAAACCACTTTTCACAGCTGGGCCTATGAACTTCACTTCATCAGCCTCCTAGATACAGAAACTCATGGACTCAATATAGACATTGGATTTATGACATAGTACAATCTACTGGACATCTGTCTCCCCAGGTCCCTCTCCACTTTTACCTGCACTTCTATATCCCCCCACTCCCCACCCCAACCTGTCCCTCACCCCCTGACACCTCCATTTCCATTTTCACTGACTGGCTTTCTTGCCTGCATTGCATGCCAACCTCAGGCTTCTTTACTATCCCTTCCATCCAGGAAGAATTCACATGCCAACTGCAAGTGCTTCCTTGGCCTGACAGAGGGTTTTTCAACCTGAAAGCTGGCATCTCAGGCAGCTAAGCTGAACTCATTGGAGCCTCACAACTGGACTGCAACAACTTGACAGCCTTAGGCCTGTCAAAGACATGATAGGTCTGGGCTTTTCCCAGCCAGGACTGTGTGCGTACATGTGGTAGCTGGAAGTTATGGTGCCTCCTACCCACCTTTCACCAGTGGGATCCTTGGTCCTGGCATTTCCTGGGGCTGCCGCACTGCCAGCAGTCCCACCAGGCCACTTGACCCTGGCAAAGCGCAGTTTTAGTGGTCATACCCATGACCTGAGGTCTCCTTCCCCATAGCCCCAGCCCATACCTCCAAGTTTTTCCTGGCATGGAAGCTCAGCAGGGACATGCTCTTCCCCTGCTGGCTGGTGATGCAGTGAGTGCTGCCTCCAGCTCAGAGAGCAGGGCATTAAGTGGTTTAAAAATAAAAACAGAAATAGGTGCGGATGAAGTGAGGAAGGTGGCACTCACTCTGTCTGCAGGTGAAGCTTGGAGAGGTTCACCTTCAGGAACACTAGCTGCTCCACCCAATCAGGCCAAGGAGGTGTGGTGGGGTGTCACAACATCCCCAGCAATGCTGAACACCCTCTCTTGGAACACTGGTCAGTGGACAGGAAAGGTGTTCCTGGGCAACCAGGGACAGATCCTGCCACATCTGGCTGCAAGTTGCCCAATAGGTCAAGGGGTTGCAGTCCAGCAGCTCCACATCCTCAGCAAGATAGGTAGCCACTGGAGCCTTGGTGCTACCTGCCCAAGGCTGGGTCTGGTGCGTCTGGATCCCAACATTGAAGCCCTGCCCTTTGCCCACATTGGTAGTGG